GCAGGGCCGCGTTGTTTGCGTTGTTCGTGGGGCTCGCGGGGGCGATCTTCGCGACGGCGGTCCCCTCCCCGTCGATGGCTCGAGGCTCCGTCGTCTCGGTGCCCGCGAGGGGCCTCCCTGTCTCGGGTGTCATGAGCGGAGTTGGCCGCTTGTGTTTCTTCGAATCAGATATAATGCGCGACTCTGTCGAGGAAATCCTGGAGGGAGGTTGGCCGGTGTATGCCTACGGCTTCATAGAATTTGGAGTCGTGGCGTAGACCCTGCTCCATTAGGTAGCGCTTCATCTCGCCTGACGTTGTTACTTGCACTGCTTCCCGGGTGAATCTTTCGATGTACTTTCAGAGAGGTTCGTCGGGGCCTTGGATTATCGCCCCGAGGACGGCTTCCGTCTTCGGGTGCCGCCGGGACGCCGTAAAGTGTTTGGAGAACAGGTCCTTCAGAACTCTCCACGACGTGACTGATTCGGGCTCCAAACTTTTGTACCATGTCATGGCGCCTTTCCTCAGGGTCGTTGGGAATAGTCTGCACTTGATAGCTCCCCGGACGTTTCGGTAGTCGAGCATGGCTTCGATGTCCTCTAAGTGATCGTCTGGGTCGGATGTACCGTCGTACGTCGATAGTGTCGGGGGCTTCTCCATCCCGTGGGGGATGGGGGCAGCCATGATTTCCCGGGACAGCGGAGTGCGATAATCGTCCTCGTCGCTGGGAGCCGGGGACTGATGAGGAGACGAGCCGTTCAGAATAGGCCCCTGGTTTCGGGTTCTCGACCTCCTGCCCGGGTTTTCGCCGCGAGGATCCCTGGCCGGGATCGCTGCAGTGTTCTGGCGCCTCTCGCGAACTTGTCTTGCTGGGGACCTGGTGCGTTCTTGCACTACCTGCGTTCGGTGTCTCTCCAGCCGCGGTCGGCGACTTCTGGGTTGAGGTGAGGGACTCCTCGAGCCTCCGTTCTGGTCTTTCCACGGGGGGGGACCTCGGAGGGCCGACCCGCTCCAATGCTCCAATCCTTGCGTTCTGCTGGAACAGCAGTTGGTTCGTCTGGTTGATGGCCGTAAAGAGGGCGGTCACCGTTGGGTCTGCTCCCGCTGGGATGGGAACGGGTTGGAATACTGTCGGGCTCGGGGGCCGGCGGTCGGCCTGATGTAGCCGCTCCGCGGATGACGGCAAGGCAGTTTGGCCGTCTCTCTCGTCGGTCTCTGCCGGACGCGATGTTTCCATCTGCTTGTTCCCGTTGGTGGCGACGTTGAGCACAAAGTCGTGCGGAGTGTCATCGCGGTGTGGGCTAGCCATGACCGTGGAGTGTTGGTGAAACTTTGGTTTTCTGCTCGGAGTAACGGGGAAGTTTCTGTTCCCACAGACGGCGCCACTGATCTGACCTGATCAGAAGGGGATCACGGGCTGGCCACACGCTGTTGGACTGCTACCTGTTCACCGATGATAAGGAGGAGAAAGGGGGGTGCACCTGCAAAACACTCTGATGCCAAAGTAATGAGTTGGGCAGAGCGAGAGCAAAGTACAGAAAAGGGCAAGATGTGAATTACCTGACCCTCTTGAGGAAGAGGGTATTTATAGAGAGACCCCAGCGCTGGGCCAACGGTCACTTGCGTTGGGCTGGATTTCTAGGCCCAACCCAGGTGACTGCTAGGGCTTACGTGGCGTAGTGAAGACCAGGACGTGGTCTTCGCCCTAGTCCAACTGCTCCTTGATCTCCGGAAAGTGGATTTGACCTGCTCTTTCGGAGGTGGGCAGTTGGTTGATGACGTGTCCCCGCGGATGGGAGCACGTGGAGAACGTGCACCGGGCACGTTGTTCTCCCCGCGAAGGGGAGCACGCGAGGGCGCGGAAGAGCCATGGGGTCTTGCCCGATGGCACGGGGAAGGTCGCCCGCGGAGGGCGTTCTGTTCGGCTAAAAGGGGGGGCGCCGAGGACACTTCGAGACGTGCCGTCCCACTCAGCGGGGAGCGTAACCTGCCCGTCCTAGGGGGTGTGTGCCCGGTCAGACCATTCCGCTTAATGGGCCTTGTGCGTTATTGGGCTGGACCGCGAGGCTAGGCCCAGACCAGAACAAATTTGAAGGTGGAGAACAATTATAATAAGTTGATGGAAACAATTGAGAAAAAGTAGTAACACCAAAGAAAACGAATAATTTTGAAATATTAAAATTAAACTGAGGATATTTTAGTAAATATAATAATTTTTAAATATCAAAACTCATATTCCCTCCCCTTCAAATCCCCCCAATTCGGAGGGAACCAAAAAGTGTGTTTTGGAGGGATTTTGCTCCCCTCCCCTCCTAAGATTTGAACCAAACATATTTAATTAAAAATTTCCCCTCCCCTCCCCTCCATCTACCCCGAACCAAACACACCCTAACTATCTTCCATAGTTCAAAACGTTTTCCAAACATAACCTCCTTTCGAGATGGAAAAGAGAGAGAGTCAAGCCTTTGACTCACTTTTCCGATTACTGGGGTCCGAGTAGCCTTTCTTAAGCTTCAGGTAATCGTCACCTCTAACAAAGTGTCCAATACGACAAATTCTCTTTTCTCGCCCCTGTGCGATTGAAACTTCTCAAGATACTATTTCCTCGCCCTCGTGCGATCTCTAACTCAAAACAGCTTTTCCAAAGAACATTGTTTAGTCCCTTCTTCCGCGCATATGAACTAGTGCTTCAACCTCCTCTAGCGAGCAGACAAGTCAACATTTAGCAGTTAGAATGCGACCTAAACTCTCGTTCGCTTCAAACACAAATCAACCAACCGTAGTTTTTCAAACTACGATTGCTCTGACTTCCTCATTGCACAATGAGGATACGTAGGCATAGGATTACGAGATCCTAGCGAGCTACATTTTTTCCTTTTACCCCAAATCTTTACCCGTAGTCCCACGAGCTACGATGCTCTGACTTTCCCATTGCACGAGGGAGTACGTAGGCACAAGGGCCCCAATCCTTGGCGAGCACCCTATATAAAAAAACCATTCATTTCCTCCCTTAGAAGCAAATCCTTAGAAGATAACAAACAAACTTAGCTAACTTCTCTCACGAATCGAATCAAGAGGTTCCTGTTGAGTACAATGGACGTAGAGGGTGCTAATACATTTCCTTTGGATAATCGACTCTCGAACCTAAAATTTGGTTGCGACGACCATGTTCTTATCTCTTTAAAGATTTTATCGATATTTTCCTATTCCTTCCTTGTAATGAATAAAGTTCGATGGTGACTCTGTTCGAACGTTTTTTCTGCGTCCATCGCGAGAATCGTATTTTTCGAGGTACGATAGGATTGGATACATATGGTTTTGCCGAAGATTTAGATTTCTTATGTTGTTGGTATGTGGTGTATTGTATGTTGGAGTATTTGGTATTTTAGGAACCAAATCATTTTCGAGGGTGAGATCGGAGATCCGAATTTAATTTTGCAAAGCAATTAATCTTCATGGCAATTGTACTTGGTAAGAGCATTCTTAGATCTTCCTTCAGTTGTAGAAGTTCTATTTTTTTCTTTGTAATTATTTGGATTATATTTAGGTTGAGGTACTCTAATCTCTCTTTAGTTTTTGAATACATCTTTCTTACTTATAAAAAAAATTCTAAAAAAATATTTCATCAAGTGCTTTTGAGTATTTTTTATTATACTTTGAGCACGGATGTGCTTTAACCAAATTTGTTGTTTTTTTCAAATGACTCAAAAAATGAGTAAGAAGAAGCTGGCCTCATTGTAACTGGTCATGTAACCATGGCTATGTAGCTTCATGTCTTTTTACTAAGCTCCTATAACGTATCAGATGATCCATATATCAGTGAGTTAGAAAACTGTTTTAACCTTAGACCTGTCACCAATGCATGTAGAACCAAAGTCAGTTTGAGGTTCTTGATCTGAGACGTATTTTCATGAAACTAATTTTGTATTGTACAATAACTAAAAATCCAAATTATAACTATTTCTTTTTTTAAATCTTTAATAAAAATAAAAAAGGAAAGAATAATATGCGTAAATAACGAGTGATGAAAAATGAAAAATCCTAAAATAAACACGTGAGATAAAATTGAGAGATGGAGGAAGCGAGATAGAACGATTCATCCGTTTGCGCTTCTCCCTCTTCTCCTTCCAAATCAATATATGTATTCAACATTTTCCATCTACTTTCTTCCTCTTCCATTCCACATTCTTCTCTACTCTCAACATTCACACTAAGGTAAATTTCTCTCACTTTTCCGTTTAGATATCACAATTGTTACTTTCTTTGATCTTAATTAAATGTGTTTTTATTGTGATTGCGAATTTGTACTCGTACTGATCCTACAATCGCAGATCCATCTATGGCTTGATCTTGATTGCCTTATTTGTTCTCTGTTTTTGCCGTTTATGATTTGCCACTGTATGGAAATCGAAACAACAATGTTTAATCTATTGGATCTTATTTGAAAAAAATAAATAAATTAAATATAATTAGAAGTGTATGTCACATTTTATGTTACAGAAATATTAATATAATAATATTTTGTTAAACAAAAAGTTGGGCGTATATAATTTTTTAAGCAACAGATCAATAGATTACTTAACAGTTGAGTAAAACTTTCTTTTGCAAGGGGTTGGGGGTGGAGGTGTCTGATTAATAGACTAAATTTTGATGTATGGATTATTTCCATTTCGGAGCTTAAGTGAAAGACATTTTGAGAACTTTATTCATTTCATGTATGTGCATGCGATAAATATTTCATTACTACCTTTACATTCGTTTTGGTAGAAACTACCACTTTAAAAACCAGAGGTAGAGGAAAATCTAAAAAAAACTAAGAGAAGTTATTAAGAAAATTTTTAAGATTAACCATTTGGATAGAAACATGGTCTTGGATAGAATGTTATTTCGAAAGTTGATCCATGTAGTCGACTCCATTTAATGGGATAAAACTTTGTTGTTATTGTTGTGGTGTTTATTCAAGTCAATTACTAACATTTATACACTTGGTTATTTTTTTACTTCTTTTTATGAACAACAGATATGGAAACCTTCCTATTCACCTCAGAATCTGTCAACGAAGGTCACCCAGACAAGATCTGTGACCAGGTCTCAGATGCCATCCTTGATGCATGCTTGGAGCAAGATCCAAACAGTAAGGTTGCCTGCGAGACCTGTACGAAAACTAACATGGTTATGGTCTTTGGTGAAATCACAACCAAGGCAACAGTGAACTATGAGAAAATAGTTCGTGACACTTGCAGGGGTATTGGGTTTGTGTCTGATGATGTTGGTCTTGATGCTGACAAATGCAACGTTCTTGTCAACATTGAGCAACAGAGCCCTGATATTGCTCAAGGAGTTCACGGTCACTTGTCTAAAAAACCTGAGGAAATTGGAGCTGGTGATCAAGGTCACATGTTTGGCTATGCCACGGATGAAACACCTGAACTAATGCCACTCACACATGTGCTTGCTACTAAAATTGGTGCCAAGCTCACTGAAGTTAGAAAGAATAAGACATGCCCATGGGTTAGGCCTGATGGGAAAACCCAAGTGACTGTTGAATACAAGAATGATAATGGAGCCATGGTCCCTATTCGTGTGCACACAATCCTCATATCAACTCAACACGATGAAACTGTCACAAATGAAAAGATTGCTGCAGATTTGAAAGAGCATGTTATTAAACCTGTTGTCCCTGCTGAATACCTCGACGACAAGACCATCTTCCATCTCAACCCTTCAGGTAGGTTTGTGATTGGTGGACCACATGGAGACGCAGGACTCACAGGAAGGAAGATCATTATCGATACCTATGGTGGTTGGGGTGCTCATGGTGGAGGTGCCTTCTCAGGAAAGGATCCAACCAAGGTTGATAGGAGTGGTGCTTACATTGTTAGGCAAGCTGCAAAAAGTGTGGTAGCTTCAGGGCTTGCCCGTCGCTGTATTGTGCAGGTTTCTTATGCAATTGGAGTGCCAGAGCCACTTTCTGTGTTTGTGGACACTTACAAAACTGGAAAGATTCCTGATAAGGATATTTTGGCTTTGATTAAGGAGTCTTTTGACTTCAGGCCTGGTATGATTGCTATCCATCTTGACCTCACAAGAGGTGGCAACTTCAGGTACCAGAAAACTGCTGCTTACGGGCATTTCGGACGCGATGACCCTGATTTTACATGGGAGACTGTGAAGATACTCAAGCCCAAGGCTTGATTGAGTTATGGTATTTTCAAAAGTGATGATTTTGGGTTTAAAATAAAATAGAATAAAAGGAGCTTCCTTGTGTATATATATATATACATATAGGTGTGGACAAGAGGCGTTTGCACAATAGGAGCATCAAGCATTAGTTACCACTTTTGATTTTGATTTTACTTCTTTAAATTTCTGTCTGGTTTTGTTTTTACCATTTGGTTATTGTTTTCTTGCAACCGCCTTGTATGGCTGGTGTAAACTTAGAATATTATATAATTCATTTTATTCACATACTTTCATTACTTCAATATATTTAATATATTGTTTGCCATATAGCAAATACCTTAGAATTTGTTTCATGTTGAGCGTAGTCTTGCATAGTGCATTCTATATTATGATCTTTTATTATTATGTCATGCATTGATCGGAGTTTAATTAATTTTATCTAAATATACAACCAATAAACTAATTTCTTCAAAGCAAGAAGTTCCCAACCAAAATATTACTTGAATTAACGTCCACGGCAGTTTAGAATCAAGACGAGGGTAGTAAAATGTGGAGATTAGAAAGTGTACTCGAAATACCTCGTGTAATGGCTTTTATAATTTGGGTCATGTTGGAGTGGATGAACATTGGTTTGGGCCTTGGTTTCTTGGGCCTGTGGCCGACACATAACAATTACCCTAAGGCTTATCAGAAAATTATTTGTTGGGGAAATCTTAAAAGTAGTTGTCGGCCCTCAGGAATAAAGTTTGCTCTTGGAAAGAAATGGAAATGCCTTGGTTTTGTTACAAAAGTCGCGGGGAATAGGTGCATTAAATGTTTTCTCATCTTTGAAATGTTTCACTCCTTCTTTTGGGCGCGTGACCCTATAGGCACAAATTAGAGCATGATTTTCCTATCTAGAGTGATTGAGTACTCTGGTCCTTCACTGCTTCTAATGAGACAATTATCTTGCTACCTTAAGATCTTTTTATGCTTTTGATCTGAATTATTTATTAGCGACTAACTTTCTTATAAAAGCTAGGTTTTTGCTCCCAACGTCTCTTTTTGCTCTACTTGCTACTCCACGCTCATTCCTTCTTTCCGGGTTCGTTCATCAGTTCTCTTGTTCAGACGTTTGATCATTCTATTACTTAATTACATGTGGGCTTGTCTTCTCTCTCTTTCTCCTTCACAAATATGTCATTGTCTTTCTTTGCATATTGTCATGGTTAACCCATATTGTCATGGTTAACCTAGAGGATGCGCCTGTAAACGATGCTCTTGAGCTTACAAGCGAAGAATCTTCTTCGCTTGCGGAAGTGGAGAACTCCGAATTCGTGGAACTTCTTTATGATCAGAACCTTCCCATCCTTGTTCAAGATGCACCTCACAGTTACTCTAGGTTGGGGTTGGGTTCTTTTGGTGATGACAACGATTCACTGATGAGTGATATAACCATTTGTGCTGCTTCTCTGGCTCGCATTAATTATAACCTAGGTTTTGTTTTGTCTGAATAAGGGCATGAGAGACAAGTTGCTCCATTCAGCCTCGCGAGACACAAATCCTTCCAGTTGAGGCTCTATAGTTCTTAATCAACCTAGTTTATTTTTTAATGCAGGCGCATAATTTATTCTATCCTAGGTGGATCCCTAGTATTTAGAAACAACTTTCCATTATACTCGGGAAGTTGTTATGAGGGAGGCCTCTTTTGAAGTGGGGTCGTATTTAGATTGGTCAACCTCAATTATTCCCACTAATAAGAGGGTATGCAACAGGTTTGAAGGAGACTCTATTCTTTTTTATAATTGCATCTTCTAGAAGTTAGGAGTCTGAATTCCCTTATCTGTTTTTGAGAAAGAGGTATTGAATCATCTTCATATTCCTCCATCGCAACTACATCCAGTTGCTTGGGCCTTTGTAAGAGTTTTTCAGTATCGGTACAAATATCGAGGTGGGGGGGACATTGGTTCAGCCTCCAAGAACATCTTCTTCCACCTTTATGATGTAAACCTCATTCCAAGAAAGGACCTGGTATAACACCCCAAAATTTTCCCTTTCGTTTTTTACCTAACTGGATTTTGTTTTGTTCTTTTTTTTACATTTGCATTGCGCATATCATGGCATTGGATCTTGAGACATGGGATAAAGGTATTTCTATGGCTCAAGGTTTTCTTTTAGTGCAAGTTTTTAAACAGCAAGCATCAAAGGCTCCAACATTTGTTTTGCTCAGCAATCGAGTACCCGATTATATTCTTCAACAGGTAAAATTGAGCACAAGAGACAATTCACAGGTTATTTCAGGTCTTTTACAGGTGTAATATCAAAAGACAAGTTTAAGAGGTTTAACGGGGCTCAGAACAGATGGTAACAGGGGATTATGCAAGTTTTCCTCCACATGGCGCCAAAATTGGCAAGTTTTGAATGTGGTAATCGGTTGCCACATTTAGGGTAATCGATTAACTCAAACACATTTTGCAAAAATTCTTCAAAATTCAGCACTGCAGAAATTCCAATCATTTTCAACCCTTGATTTCACATGTGCATCATTGGAAGGATCTAGAATTGATTCATTTTCATCATTTCCCTCCAAATTTCAAACACTTCATTCCTAATTTCACTTATAATTTCATTTCCTCACACTAATCCACATTCTAAACCATACTTCAATCCCTAACTTAGGGGTTATTTAATCAAATTTACTCCAAACCTCATAATAGAAACTCATTCACTCTCATTTTTCAGAGTTTGCTCTCAATTTTCTCTCATTTTTTTTTATTTTCAACCTTCATCTTCAACCTATCACAAAAGCTCCATATCCATAGATTCACAAATTATGCATTGCAATTTGTCAAATCTTAAGCGAAACCCCATCACTTCATCATTCTTGATTCAATTCTGTAGTTGAAGCTTGTTTAGATCTAGATTCAAATTTTTTGGAAGTCATTCTTGAAGGAGCTTTGAAGCAAGTTCATCACATTGCTTGGATCTTGAGATTTCTTGCTAGGATCTTGGATTTCTTGTGTTAGATCTGTCCATTTTTGTTTGCAACACTTACCAAAGCAAATCTCATCTTTGTAGGTTGGTAAATTTCAAATCTATACTTGATTTGGCTTAATTTCAACTTATGCAATGTAGATCATTGACTTTGGTTGCATTTTGATCCATTTGCTTGAATTTGATTGTTGATAATCATGACTTGTTGATGCAATTGGTGTTTGTTGGCTGTAGTATGATATGATTTTCGTGCATAATTGTTTGGTTGATCATTGGGATGATTAGATAATTCATTTGCAGCTGGAAGTGGTTTTGGAAAGCTAATTTTCTGCCACTGTCTCAGTGGTAATCGATTACCACTATTAGGGTAACCGATTACCCTGTTCAAATTTTGCGCAAACTGGCTGTTTTTCAAAGGGGTAATCGGTTACCCATATACTGGTAACCGATTACCACTGGGACATAATGTGATTCTATGGTTTTTTTCTTGCTTGTTTGGGTTCCTTTTCATTTATAATCTTCATGGACTGATGTTATGCATATTTGTGGATTGTTTTGGACATGTTTCACCTCACATGACAATATGTTTGAGTTTCTTCGACACGCGAATTTCGGTTTTTGATAAGCATGTACATGTTTTGTTCATCTTGCATTCTTGATGTGATGATCTTGTTGCATAACTCTTTGTGCCACTGTGATTGCTTGATTTCTCATACCATATGAGGATACGTAGGCACACGACAATGATGTTTTCCAAACTACGTTGACTCTGACTTTCCCATTGCACGAAGGAATACGTAGGCATATGGCGACGATGTCCTATCGAGTCTCTTTTGTTTCTTTTTTTCTTCATTCTCATTTCCGTTTAGCAGTAGGATTTAGATAACACACCTTTTGATTAGACAACAAGCGTGGATCCTGTTAAGTACAACAAATGCGAAGGGGTGCTAATACCTTCCTCTTGGATAACCGACTCCCGAACCCAATATTTGGTTGCGATGACCTTGTCTTCTCCCTTTCTTTGAGATTTTCTTTGATTGTTTCCTTTCCCTACATTGAGATAAATAACGTTTGGTAGAGGCTCTTCTGTTTTTACGCCAGGTATTTTTCGCAGTTGCGACAGCTGGCGACTCTGGTTCCCTATGCAAGTCAATCCTAGCGCTTGTCTGTTTCTGTTCTTTGGGTGTTTATTTTATACTTTATGTATAATATATGTTGTATATTTTTGCATTTTATCGCATTTTGCATTTGATTATCGTTATCATATTGCTTTGTTGTTGCTATGTTATATGGTGGGTTTGTTTAATGAGAGATAAGCCCGCTACTCAGGCTTGAGTATACACTTAGGATTAGAGTTGAGAGTAGTGTGGCTTGTGTGGCGTCTGGCCACGTGTAGTTGACATAAAATTCATGTTCAGACGAGGTTTTCTTTGAAGATACTCTATCATGTGCGTCTGGTGCAAATGGTAGGTTGTCAACTTAGAGAACTTACGACTCTGAAAACCGTTCATGGAAAATCGGTTGATGCCTCTTTGATTAATGATGATGCCAAACCAGAAATGGTGAACGTATCATTATTTCTCGACCTGAGAGTTCGTGATACTGATGACTTGTATAGGATGCCTCTGTCTAAGACTAGAACCCACATGTGAGAGGGGATGGGTTTTTCTGCAGGAAACCTTGACTTTCAACCTACCCGGTTTTCTGGATTTCTTGTCAGTGTGGACCTTTGATCCTGGGTATTTTGGTATTTCGATTATCTTAGTGTTCTGGTATTCTGGATTTCTTATCAGAGTGGAATTTTGGTCTTATTCAGTCAGCAACACAACGACTATTCTGAGCATCTGGATACCTTGATCCCGTGTTTGCATTTTTATAATCATTTTGCATTCTAACATGCATGTTTGTGTATTTTCAGGTTCTTGTCTTATCCTTGATTCCAATTGTCTGAGGTTTATAGAGATGGATATTGGCAGAAAGAAGATCATTGCGTACAAGTTTCCATCTCCAGAGTTGGGTTCTCTTCATGACTTGAATGC